ATGAGTCCCTGAAGAAGAGCTGGGCGTGCAGCTGACTTGGAGCTTTACTGCAATGCATTTATCACACTTGCCTTGTACATGGGACCATTCCCTGCTCAGCTCCCAGGTTTGGATTCTAAAGAGGAACATCACCTCGCTTCCTAGGGAAGTCTTAGTTATAGTCTTGTCTGCTCTTTCTTCCTAAGCAATCCAGTGGAGGAAAGCACACATGCCCAGGTGGGTGTGTGGCAGGCCAGTAGGGGGAGCTCCAGCATTGAGCCTCCCACCTCACCACTCCTGTCGACCTTCCGGACTCCACATGTCTCTCCAGGGGCGCCTAAGCCCTGGCAGACCCCCTTTCAAACCCCACTGCAGAGTCCGGAGGTAACGTGTGCTCCCACCACCCAGAGAAGGGACTGTCTGGGGCCTGTGTCCTCAGCGAAACACAGGCCTAATAGTCCTATGGGTACTCGACCCAGTACAAGAACTTGGGGTACTTCCCGAAGTCGGGGGCCAAAGAGGATAGTCTCCCTTAGTTCGCTGACCCAAGGGGCCTCCTGGGCATAATTAAACCCACCCCTCAATAAGTCTCCCACACTAGGTAGAAAGGAAAACTATTGGTTACAGAGGGTAGGGTTAGAATGGGGTACAGGGTAGAGCAATATCAGAGAAATCCCATAGCGCAAACTCCTGTGGCTGGGGTAGCCTTTGATCTCGCATCTGAGTTACTGCAAGCTATATATGTAGTTGGATCTCAGTTAGCTTACCTATAAGTATCATCCAGAGGCAGGTGGAGATTCCCTTTGGAGGCAGGCAGTTCCTTGCTCATGAGTTTTGAGAGATAGAGCCAGTTTCAGATGGTACAGATCTTCTTTGTTCCTGAGTATCCCTCATGGCTGCAGGCCCCCCTCCTCCTGGGCAGTCCTTAACTTATATAGCCCTTGTGACCTCATTAACCTGGTGCAATGGAGGCCAGCACCTGTTGGCTGTCAGCCAGCCAGTTTAAAACACATCACTAGTTGCCAGGCAGACTCCAGCCCACCAGGAAGGAAGCCCCTCACCCATGTATGTGATGCTAGTTACATAGGCAGAGGGAGCAGGTTTCCCCACTCCCTCAGGAATATATCCAGCTCAGGTTACCCAAAAGAGATAGGGTAAAAGTATGCATCCTCTGCTGGGCCCATCCTAATCAAAATTGTCACAGAGCAGAGTTTTTGGGAGAGAAACAAAGGTGGCTTTCTGCCACAGCATGGTGGAGGGCAGAGGCACCAAGGCGGGGGATATGTGGTGAGGAGCGGGTGCGAGGCGTGCAAGCTCAGGGAGAGCAGGCAAGAACAGAATCAGGTGAGGAGGTTAGGCACCAGGGGGGCACGGGTGCCAGGAGGTCCAGGCACTGCAGAGGTGGGAGATGTGGCGTACACAGTCATCAGGATGTCAGGCACCAGGGTGGGAAAGTGGTGGGGGTGACAGGTGGCAAGCAGCAGGTGTCAGGCCAGTTTACTTGCCATTGCCCATGCCCCACCAGTTGCCCCACAGCCGCAGTAGGGGGGGGACACACGAATTTAAGATGACCCTCCGATAATTAGATTCTAGACATGGAAAATTCTTACAAATTTATACATTTTATCTATCTAGAATCTTATTATTGGGGATCATCTTCAATTCAAATCAGTCTTTGATTCAGGTAAATAAGAGGTATTTAAAAGAACCAGTATTCTGTGTTGATTTACACTGGACAATGCTTAGTTATCTACCTACATAGTGTTTTCATACTGAAGAATTAAAAAATATTCTATTACTAGTAAATTTAGGAATTCCAGTAGCCTGATGGATATGTTAATAGAGCACAGGAGCGTTACATATTAATAAGGACTTATATAACTTAAGAAATAACTTCTCACAATATTTCTGTACAAGAATTGTTTTAATACCTATTTTAAATATGCAGAGTTTTTTTTAATTAAACAATTTCTCATGTCCTGGGAGTGGGGGAAGCACCTGGGAGTGGTGAGAATAGTTCCCTCCTCCCTGTGTGGTCCCCCAGGAGCAGGGGCAGAGAAGGGGTCTATGATTCAGAGAGACCTCGACAAATTTGAGGATTGGACGAAATGCAATCTCATGAGGTTCAGTAACGACAAGTGCAAAATCCTACATGTAGCATGGAACAATCCTATGCATTGTTACAGACTGGGGACTGACTGGCTAAGTAGCAGGACCTAGGGGTTAATGTGGATCAGAAGGTGAATATGAGCCAACACTGTAACCTTGGTGCAAAGAAGGCCAATGGCAATTGTGCTGCATTACCAGGAGCATAACTAGAAGATCAAAGGAAGTGATTCTTCCCCCATGTTTGGCACTTGTGAGAGCACATCTGGAGTACTGTGTCCAGCTTTGTGCCTCCCACTACTGAAAGGATGTAGACAGACTGGCGAGAGTCTACTGGAGGGCAGGAAAAATGGTTAAGGGTCCAGGTTACATGAGTTATGAGGAGAGGCTGAAGGAACTGGGCTTATTTAGTTTGGAGAAGAGAAGACCAAGATGGTGTTTAAAAGCAGACTTTAGCTCCCTTAAGGGAGATTACAAAGAGGATGGAGCCCAATTGTTTTCAGTGCTGGCAGATGATTGAACAAGGAGCAGTGATCTCTGGTTCAGTTTTAGATATTAGGAAAAAAAAATATCAGGAGGGTAGTAAAGCACTGGAACAAGTTACTCAGAGAGGTGGTGGAAGCTCCATTCTCAGTGGTTTTTAAGACCTCACTATACAAAGCCTTGAGTGGGATGATCAAGTTTATAGCGGCCCCGCTTTGAGGAGTGTGTTGGACAAGACGATCTCCTGAGGTCCATTCCAACCCTTATTTTCTATTACCCTAAGATTAGTCATTGGTTTAGAGCAGCATTAGCTACAGGGAAAGCATCCCTCAGAGTTTTACACCACCACTCCTCTCATACAATAATAGAAGCATAGAAAATTAGGGATGGAAGGGACTACAGGATGTCATCTAGTCCAGCATTGGGTGTTGGCTGAAATCAAGGTTGGGGATTTGGAATGATATGCCGAAGCTCCTGCTCAGACTAAACCCCAAGATCATGAGCTAGAGAGTTGTGCCCCACGACTCTGGGTCAGACAAATCCCTATACTTGCAGTTAAAGACAGACTGTCTCCATCTGGATCATGTCAACCATGGGTTTGTCTAGCCCAGTCTTAAGAACCTCCAAGGAAGGAGATTGTACCCTCTCTCTGCCTTTCAGCTCAACGCAGACTGCTCCTTGCATCTGTTTCTTGTGTGAAAACCACGTTGCGTGAACTAGCTTCAAATTGCCCAACAGTATGAGCCAGTATCACTCAAAATAATCTTATTCATTACTTTCAAAATTCGCTTTTGGGTGTCAATTCTGGACGGTTACCTAAACTCTCAGAAGTAATTAAGTGGAGCTGATATTTTTTTCCTTTTTTTTTTTTTTTTTGGAGGATGCTGTCCTCTGGGGCATTCTGGGAAATGTTGATTATTCTTTCTGATTTGGAGAAAAATAGATTTCATACCTTGCCCGATCTCCCAAGGAATACAAGCCCCAATGTCGATACAGTTGTACAGTAACAGATTGTGGTCTCTACTGAGTTTCCTTTTACATCCATTCTAAGCAAGGTCACACTATTTGCATTACTGGAGCTCTTGGCATAGGCTGCTTGTTGGAAAGATGAAAGTATCCGCTACCGGTCCTGAAAGGATTTAGGGATTAGCAGCATGAACGTTATTTGGGCTTGACTTAGTAAAACCTGGGGATGTTGGCAGCTGATTTAAGTACCTACATCTCCCCTATAGTGGAATAAAGCAACAACCAGTATCCAGCATCACTACAGTCATGACGTGCACAGGAGCTCTAGTGTGTACACACTTACAGCAAATCATTTCCATCTCTTCAGGGTTGTGTGGAGGAAAACCCTCAGTGCTCTTGCAGAACCATACAGGAAAGCATGACTGAAAGTCCAGGAACCTGAGGAAAGACTGACACCCACTATCTAAACCCCATTATAACTCCCTTTCAAATATTCTCATACCATCCTTCCAGATCTCAAATAATCAAACCTCAAGAAAACGTTTTAACCCAGACAAGACAAAGATCCAGTGATATTCTCCAACAAGGCATCTTATAAATATTTAGGGCACATAAAAATGGTTGCACACTAAGGAATGACAGTATCAGCATCAAAGATAAAATTTAACAGGTACAAAAAGATTATCAAGGACAGAGTGGTACCTTAGAACAAAAGGTTCAGTGAGATTTAGGGTAAAAATTAGAGAGATTATTTAAAATGGTGTAAACCTAAAGAAACACAACTGACATTAGATAACTTAATCTGTATGAATAACACAGTTGGTTGTTTCTATAAAAATTCCACTACCGACACTGGCGGAGTTAATTTCTATTAAAACAACTCAGTTTCTATAAAAATGTTCAGTGAAACCACGGTCACTGGAGAAAAACTGACATCTTCGTTGGAATAAACCACTTCCAACTCACCAGTTTCCACAGAGATGCTTTGATGTCCTTGTTTCTCATGCTGTAGATGACTGGATTCATCATTGGTGGGATCACAGAATACAGAACAGACACCATGAGGTCCAGAGCTGATGGGGAC